TTATAATTTAATCTATTAAACACAAAAAAAACACTTATATTGATAAACTCTTTTCCCTTAAAAATTATTACGCCGCTGCATCAACCAATCAAAAGCGAGGTTACAAACGGCGACGTCATTTCATTACGTTATGGGTTGATAACATAATTTTTTAAGCCAATGAAAATGCTTGTTACAGGCAAGATTAAATTATTTGTTATAACCAGAACATAACCATGAGGATGGTTGTAGAGATAGACGTTATACCAAAGTGTAACCAGAAACACATCAAATCCAAACGGTCCGAGTCTAACTGACAGCCACAACTTTCTCCGTTATCACTCATAAGATATGTCTGTTTAAAATGTTGTCCAAAGAAGTTCCATTTAGGCGACGTTGTTTTATCACGAATGTTGATGTTATTAACGCTTGCACCATTCAAAGACGTAGGATGATGTTCGTATCTTCCCTGGGAATCGTCCTGCGTTGGAATACCATTGTCGTTTGACACAATACCGTCTGTTAATGTGGATAAAGTGCTTTCAGTTTCGGAAATGTCATGAGAACAATTTGCCATATTGCCATTTGTTGTTTTCTTAAAGGATAATGTATTTTCACGGTGGTTTACACGCCAAATACAAATGGACTCCACGATGGCTAATCCACTCATACCGAGTTGTATACACAGGTAAATTGACAGGTACGAAATGGTGGTCGATGTTTTGGGCATCATATCATTAAATACTGTCAGAAACACCGTGAAGGAAAGAAGAACAGAAATGCACAGTGTCATCTTTTCACCCGAGTTGGCCGGAAGTAAAAACACAAGCGTGTTAAGGAAGGAGAGCAAGACAACCGGAAATAGCGTATTGATAACTGGATGTAGAAACCGTCGGCGGAAATGAACTGCGTATCTTACAAAGGAAATACTATATTCGGTACTCACTTCTGGTTGCGTTATTGTTTGTGTAATCTCCCATTCGCCATTTTGTTCGAACAATGTTTCAGCAAGACTCTTTCCGTTGTCCGCGATCCTCTGTATCCAAACAGGGCTCTGCCAAGCACCTATCCGAATCTGACATTTCTGTTCATCAAACGGAAACCGCCTAATATCAATCTGACACCTAACGTTATACTGCCGTGCTGGGTACCACACGACGCGTCCGTCTTCTAGGAGAATAATATGTTGACCGTCACTGATGTGCTGAGGATCATCAATGGAATTAAACAGTGCTACATCCGGGTACCATATCTCACTCTTGGGAAGCTGTAGACTTTTTAATCCGTCCCCTAAAATCAGAAATTCATCGATCCAGGTCAGTTCCATCCAACCAATGAATGACATCGTTTGTAACCTTTCATCGATTTCCCTTAGTGACGTAAAATGTAAAGTCAGATTAACGTCGACAGGCTCAGACAGATTCTTCCTTGGTTTAATAAACGGTGAATAGTTTTGAAATAAGTCGGCGATTATCCGTTCTTGAGTTTTTACATGGATGTCAGCACGGGTAATAGCTGTAGTTTCTGTTAATATGAGGAATAATGATAGCGCTACCCTTTTCACAAAATGAAAATAGACCTTTTTGTCCATTTTGATAGAAAATTGTCCAATGTTATTTGTCTTGATGGTGTTATATTGACCCACTATTATTTAAAAGGAATTAGTAGTCACAAATTGCTATTTTTTCAATGTAATGATCACTTAATCCACTGACAGTTGCACAATTTGGTTTAGCGAGCATCTTTTGCACAAAATAGCATTCATTTCCGTGAGAAGGAAACATGATTCACCTTGAAGCGTGTTAAACAAAAACAGTCTTTAAAACTGTGCCATAGATCGTGAACAGAATATCCTGCTGCCTCTCTTTACCACACTGCTCTAAAACCAGTCTGAATAGTACAGCTTTATTTCGTATGTGCGCTCAACAATCAGCGTTGTGTTTGAAGACAGGGATCAATCGAGAATAACGTTAAATGTAGGTGTCACCTAGAAAATTACCCAATCAATATTCAGCAGAACAAAAAACGTTCTTAATCATTTGTTTTACCTTTTCACATGGACGTCAACGTAACATAGATCCATACAATTTGTGTTAAAACATTTCTTGCTTGTTAGTGTTATAATATATTTATAGGTCCGAATACATAAGTAAATACGAGAGAACCTGTCTGTGTATTTATTTATAATTAATGATCATTGGTTCATCTCGGTATTGGTCATCCAGCTACATCAGTAAAATAATCTCCTCCATCTGTATCCGCCTTAATCCTCTTACGCGTTATCATGTCCACTCTTATCGATTATTCTGTAGTCATTGTTATGTTCGTTAAGTAATGACACCAATGACAAAGGGTATTAACTACATGATGTTAAAGTATCCTTACTTAATATCGGACACAATTCAAATGTTTATATATATATTGTAGTCGCAGAATCGAAGGAAGTTTCATTATATTTATCGATTTATTTTACATAATTAAACACAATAAATGCCAGATTTTGTGATGATGCACAATGTTTATATTGTAAATATCTCATCAGAAATGTTGAATACCATAAATAATACGTTAAGAACATAATAAGTCGACACTGCTTACTTAGCAGGTAAAGCCAATACATTAACGACTGGACTGTTTCAGGTACACTCCATTTGTCTAATGTCAACACATATCGCTTCATGTTTGACTGAGGTAAACTTAGAAAAAAGGAGATGTAAACATATAAAATACGAGTGGGGATTCAAATTGATTTAATGGTACTGCATGCTTTTTTCTGTCGAATATCATATCAATATTTTTCAAATTGTTGTTTGCAATGCATGATCGAAGTACAGCATGCATCTGGACAAATATACATTAGATATGTCAGACTATTATACTAGTATACATCATCTATAGTTAGTAATCATATGATCGGGGGGAAATGCGTCATATTTCTCATGCACTGGAGTTTTCCCAGTCACATATCCCTACTTTTGAGTATATCTTAAAAATCATCAAGAGGTACCACATCACAGGTTCAGGTGACAGGTAATGTGTATACTTGACAATATGGAGGTTCTATACAAAGGTCGAATGTGAGCTGTATTCTGACGGCGAATCAGGTGAGTTTTAAAAAGATGTAAGTAATCTATTAATGGAAATTAGTGTTCAATTTCTTTGTAAAAAATGAGATATCTTCTGTTCATTTAATATAATTATCTGTTGAATCGAAAGGACAAAACCAAACCTAAATATGTCGATGTTTCCACAATAACGTCGTACAAATGTGATATTAATCAAAGTATAAGAAAAGACACAAAAATACCGGGGATATTGCTGATTGGCTGGTGTTGTACGGAGATAGAAGACTTTCTATTTGGAATATGATGGAAGACTATCGTAATTCAGGAAATAGCTTTACAAGAAGTAGTAGTTTAGATCCTTAGCTGCCTATTAAACATAAAATGTTGAAGACCCGATATACGTGATCTGAAAACTTCGTCGGATTGAGAAATATATCAACAAAACGAAACGGCAAGGTCTCTTGTAAGCATACACAGACTAACTGCCGTAGTTTGGAATCGCTGTATTTACTCCTTATATTAATACGCCAAGACAAATAAAACGTTTAACAAACATAAATTGGTATTATAGCAAGCTTACTATAAATGATATTGACATATCGGTAAATTGTCTTCTGACTGTAAAATCAGAACAACCTTTTGTTCAAACCTTGTGCATTGAGCGATAAAAGCAGTCAAACTGACCTATGGTGCCCCTACCGTGTCAAAATACGTACAGGAAATCCCAAAATTATTCCTAACAGCTCTGTCGAAAAATGTACATTGTGCTATGGTCCAAACATTATCGAGGACTATCTTTGCACTTTTTCTGATTGGTAAAAATATGCAAATGCTTCGATAAGATTACCGTAATTCGTGATTTCAAACTAAAAAATACAAACAAAATTTGGCAGCTACTAAAAATACGTTAAATTGTCATGCAATATTTTCATAATAGCATTAGATAAACTATTAAGTTTTGAAAGCATTTATATCTTATTAATCCTGTAGTATACGGTAAAGTATACGCATACTTAAGTTAGAAGCGACAATTGAAATGTGAAGGATACCATGGATCATGTAATAGCGGTTTGTATAGCTGCACAACATTTCACACATTTGAGAAAAAAGTGACATTACATATATGTAGTGCGCGCAGTTTAATGTTGTTCTTGGGTGCATCGTGTATTATCAACATAGGGAGAGTTCAAGACCGGGTAATCAAAATCGTCACGCGTATAATCCAAAAAACATTACAGAAACAGCAACTTTAATAGAAAATGAAACGAAGATATTAATAATCTCATATAGAGACCCTCCAACAGTAAATGGTCGATTCTTGGCACTGATCACGAAATTACAGGATGAATAATAAGCATAATCAGTAATATTCAATACTAATAGGATAAAACTTGTTTACATCAACATCTTTATTTGCAAAATATCGCTAGTAATCCAACAAAGGTCATGTTTTAAGTTATGTTCCTGTCAACTATGTCCTTGAATTCAAGTACTGTTGGCGATATACTCTGAACCTGGTCGGAAATGTTTTGTGTTGAGGAACAATTTGTTTACATTTCTGAGAGAGAAATTGAAGGAGGAATTGCCAAGGTCTTTGTTACCTGACCTGGTAAATGCTTCGATAGTTATTTCATTAAAGACATGCAAACGCTGTTCATCCAAATTCGTGTTGCTTTGGAAACCATTCAGTTTTTCAAATTTTGATTTTTACAGTGCTTTGATATAGAACACTGATCATTTGATCGTATTTAGGAATCGTAGTAATGAATGAAATAGGCGGAAACGATTTGGGGTCAACTTTGGTATATATACAGCAGACATTATATTTAATCTGTGTCCAATTTTTCCTTGTCAAGATCCTGTTCAGAATTGGTCGTTTCAAAAGCCAATCACATTCGAGTTAGATAATAATGGTACAAAACCCCCTCATTACCTACAGTATATATATAACTTTACCTCAATTAAGTCGACAGTGTCAAGAGACTAGAAAGTGCAACAGCATATACACTACATAGTAACCATGAAGACTGAGATACTGTTAGCTGCGTTGATTGTCTGTGTAGTCACAGGTAAGATTCTCATATAAACAATTAAGTGTAGAACTATGTAGCAATACACATATATATCCAAATTTGTTCATTGAGTTTAAATCGAAGGTTTTCCAGTAAAAAAAATGCCAATATACGGGAAACATTTCGTTCTATTCAAAGTAAAAGGTCAAAGATCACGGAAAGGGTGTTGGGAAGGGGGCGGGGGGGGGGGCGGTGTGTGTAACAGGTACAGAATAGCGACAGATCTAGATGAACTACGTTCGTTATCGTAGCAAATTTTCTTTGATCTGAGTTGGCTCGGCCAGTTCATTCCGGTACAGCCACACTCAATTAATTTGTTTTGTTGTGATTGATATGTACACTATAATATTACATAACTGTTAAAATAGGGACGTATTATATGCCTTTCTTAAGAAGATGAAAAAGAAAAATACTTTCATATGCACCGTCCGTCCGTCCGTCCGTCCGTCCGTCCATCCGTCAAAAGGTGTTTAACCTTTTATTATTGGCATTTTTAAAATTGACATATGTTTTAAAGATTTTCAGTTTCAGTTTCTTCATTTCCAAGAGTCATCCGACCCATAGGTTAAATATCAAACAATTATATCATGTAGTACACATACAAGAGATTATTATACATATTTTTAAATCATAATTACGCAAAAATTTCGTTAACCTAAACATTTTGGAATTCTGTGATTGTATAATTATTTAATTAATTCAGCATAGATTGCAAACCTTCAGGTTTGTCGGACATCAACACCATATCGTTTGAGTACATAGGTAGAAACATAGTAATCAGTTGCAGTTCAAGGCTGGGACAAGTATTCTTAATAAAATTAAAATCATTTATGTACACAAAAAAAATAATTTGCCTTGCTTTATCCCAACCAAGCTTATTAGACCACCCTCTCCGTTTACTGGTGAAAAGCTTGGTCAACTTCATACATAGTACATTCTATATCAACTTCAATGCACAGTCCATTAATCCATACAAACTAATTACCAATTATCAATTGATTATATCACAAAGAGATTAATTCATGATATATATATATATATGATTCATATACTATACCGAATCTAATTAACCTATTTCATGTGTTCGTCGTAGCAGACGACATAGTTTGTAACACACGCTGTAGTGTGAAATAGGCTTTCGTTCTGCTGTAATTAAATATAGATGTTAAAACTTACCAAATCACTATTTAACAATATGTGAATTTTCGAGAAAATCGAATAACAATTGTATCAAACTTACAATCAGGCATCACAATATACATGTACTACCACAAATACATATAGTTAGACCAGAAATGCGATAACAAGCAAAACTTCAACCAAATTTTAGATCCATCGCTATAATCTCTGGGCTATTTCAAAGCCCAGAACTAACAACAATACGGCAAGAAACAAGCACAGTGACTCCAATTTTTATACAGATTTCAAAAGAGAATCGTGTTTCCTTTCACTCCAATGAATAATCCTTTAATCTATGTCTAATTAAAAATCAAAATACTGAAGGATACTCGGCATAAGATTTTTGACTTTGAAACAAAACTACCTAATATTAATTTGCAAATAATAATATTAAAAGAATGCATTCCATCAGTTTACTTATGTAACAGCAGACAGATAAGAGAAAAGAGAAGGTATATCTGGATTTTTAGTTTATTTTGAGTCAATTTATCGTCAATCGGTGCTGATATAGATTTGTATTTATGTTAATTATGCATTAATGTAAGCTTCAGTTTGCTAACAGTTTTATGGCTATTACTACGAACGAAATACAGAGTAAAAGTTATGGTTATATTTGCCATCGATATTGGTAATCGTTTTTTATCTGTTATAAAGTGGAACAGTTTACATCCACTATCGGACAGTGGTGAGTATATGTAGTTGTTATGAAAAAGCTAACGTAAATATGTAATTTGTCCCTTTTTAAACACAGGTACACAAGGGTGTGGAGGGCCGTTCTGTGTATACAGCCAGGGCCGGTGTGTGTGCAACTTCAAACGAATGGTTGCCGGAGAGTTGCCAACAACACCAAAATTGCATCAAAACAAAATGTTTAAACAACTGACAGGTCCTAAACTTGTGTCAAAACGGCAAGACGATGACCGACTTCCAAAATCCGGATATTAGCTCTTGGACGTACCTTCTATTTCCCGTTAATCTCTTACAACTTCCACAGCAACAGGAATCTTTCGATACTGTAAATTTCGACCTGTATCGCATTTGAAACATTTAAGTGATTTCGACGTATAAAATACTGATCATAACAAATTATATATACATGTATTATGTTGTTTATTTTGGTGAAAGCAATACAAACTAATGCAACCAACGTATGGATTTCTTTGTTTATGCGATGTTATAGATGTGAACTAAATGTCCGTAACATTATATAAAAAACTAAACATTTATTGTTCTTGTTCAAGATTGTTTGTTCCTAAGAATTCAGCGTGTTTCAAGAGGCTAGTTTGGTTTTAGTTGTGTCTTGTTTTATATGCATGGTTTAACCTCCTATTAATAGTTAAGGTCAATTGAAGAATAAAAATAAGTTTGACCTTGAATGAAAGGCTTAGGCTGATCAAACACAAAAAGTCATTCTACAAAGATTTGTATTGAAACATTTCCTGTTTTGACTTAAAAATACAAGTATTTCTCTGTGTCTTTGTTAACATTTGAAAATAAAGGCTTTCATAAAGAGAAATGTAACATGGGAGGTTTCATATAGGAAAATGTTAAAATGTATTTTTTCCTTATGATACAGGAGGGATATTTCATAAGGAAAATCTACTTTTTAAACATTCTCCTATATGAAACCTTGATAAGCATAAGCCTTTAATTCATGGTCAAACATATGTTTCTGTGAATACGCTTGCCAAAAAGCATTTGGTGTAAGAAAACTATTCCCTATTTACAAAAAGGCTCAAGTCACTTTGACTCTTAGGTCACTTCTGACACTTATCAGCAACCTATTGTTACAAGAATTATGACGGATGAGCCTATGCACTTAGAGCTGGTCGAACTAATTTTTGTGACGTAACTGTGTCAACAAGCAGTGTTGAACGACTAGATTTTTGTTAATAACCCACGCTTACGTGTGAGCGTGCGCGAACTAATCAACCAATCAGATCCTCACCTTTGGCGGACAGTCCGTTTGACTTATGACCTGTTGTTCCCACAGACCGTCGTTTTTCTCTGGGATTGAAAAAAGGTAACATCGAATCTAACGACTGTACTCTCTAAAATTTACAACTCGACAAACCCTAACAAAACAACAAAAACAAACCAAAAAACGTGTTGAAAGACTCACCAAAATCCGGCTATCTATATAGAAAACACCCCTGTAACCAATAGCTAACACCAGTGATGTCTGCTAAAAGATCTGATAGAGTAACCGTACCGAACCTCAAGTTATACTGCAATAAAAGGATACACAAATATAAAATAAACAATTAGGCTAAAAATAATACAACTTTGTCTAATCATTACTACCCTTTCGAACACCTAGGGTGTACTTTAGAAAGGGGTACACTGTTGCCTGTATACAGATATCTATAACTTCAAAAATGTAAAAAAAGCAAGTTTTCTCCCTTACATTAGATTGCATATCAGGAACATGTAAATACTGACCTCCTTCTTTACCAATTCTAATGTCTAAAAATAAAACCATGTTAGATTTAAACAAATCTATCCTGATTAAACTACTAACTTCAAACTAAGCAATGGTATAGAAGTACATAACTCCTTCAACAAAATACTTACAGGAACATGTAAATTCTTCAAACCTTTTTGTAATTCCAAAGTTAACTAAAATGTCACTGCAATTTGGCAAAGTTCTTGAATATATGATGGTCATGTGATCCATTCTGGTGTCCTCTCACCTTAGAGTAAGAATAAGTGCAGGAGGACACAATGGAACCCAACTTATACAGCTTGGACGAAGCTTTTCTTGAATATGAAAGCAAAATGCTTAATACACTGGCACTTACTTAAAACTTACCGTCGTGTTTGTAAAAGACACAAAACCTAATCCTGCAAGTCTGTCAACACCTTCGTTACCAGTGTGGCTCGTTTTTTTTCCATTTCTGTCGGGACTCTGTTCCTGGAAAGACCATCGAAACTGCTCTCTTTGTATGACCATTCTGTTGACATGAAAGTATGTGGAACTGGGACCAGTGATCAATATCCATGTAGGTCACAGCTGAACTAGTTGTCGCACAGGCATACCAGTGTTAGGGATAACACCTTTGTAACAGTATTGGTTAAGCCATTATAAGTTATCGCCCTTGATGTGAAACTCTCCAATAGCGTTGGTAATAAAGTCAGTCTTAGTCCGCCATTCGAAGAGTTGAGTTCTCTCTACAACCTTAACACTGTATAACCTGTTTAATTGAAAGTTTACATCAAATAGTTGAAGCCTATTGCTTTACAAACTGATATAAAAGTTCCATTGACCATCACATTAATTACAGTACATATTGATATGTAAGAATAGTCTTAAGAATATAAATACCATAATAAGGTTTCTTTTTCTTTTTCCTGTTTTTCCTACTTTCGAATTTGTATATAGTGTGGATGAATTCAACTGGTCACAATCATTGTTGCTATCTCGGTGAATTCAGTCCTGACAACTGGTAACAGTCGCTTTTCATTGTTTTCAGTACCCTTACCGATGTCCCACGTTTTTAGGTGTTTTTTGTTTTTGTGTTTCACGTCCTATTTTAAAACAGCAATGGTCATTTAAGGACGTGTCAGGTGGTGGTGGTGGTGGTGGTGGAAGAAACCGGAGTTCCCGGAGAAAAACCATCGACTGTAATTTACACAATGTTTGTAATTATTTAAAGTATTGTTTCACTGTGGGGGTTTTTAAGATCAACTACGGTATAACATACAACTCACTGAACACTAAAAATATGACTCCCAAGTCAACTTGGTACAGGTCATGAGGATGTCAACAAATCATATCCTTACTGAATGTATAGATAAGGAGGATACCAAACCCAGGGTCCATGTGTAGCTACAAGTCAACCTGGTACAGGTCATGAGGATGTCAACAAATCATACCCTTACTGAATGTATAGATAAGGAGGATACCAAACCCAGGGTCCATGTGTAGCTACTTGATCTGTACGATATGCTCTTCCCTATCTAGCACAGTTGTTGAGCTTTTTCTGTTTCAGTCAACACATTCATGGCAGCAACTAGTTAAAATGAACAATAGTATCCTGCCAATCACTGCTGAGTGAATCTGGTTTTTTTTCTTTCCTATGTACACTATGCCTTGATGTTGTTTGTTTCCACTCTAACCCTGACAGAATATGTTAACCCATATGGCTATTTTAAGTATGATCACCTAATTCCCTGTGAAGACTACCGTTCGAAGATCAAAAGGAAGCGCACTGGGTTAGGAGCTACCTCTGGCTCCCTTTAGATAGTCTATTTGATATATCTAAGGCAGGACAAATTTGGCTCATTATCTTCTCTCATTACTATTAGTCTAACCTTGTCTTCGTAACATACTTTTATCTTTGGTAAATGATATATAATATCTTCATTAATAGAAACTGTTTTAATTTGTATCCTGGAATCCATTTTGGCGTGTCCCGTAGTGGAGAGCACCAAAACAATTCTATAATAATTCTGCAAGGGGTTCCCGCATAAGTTATCTCAAATCATTTATTAGTGTGTCATGAATCATTATGGAATACTTTTATTTAATCTTTTTACCGAAATGTATATGCAATAGACATAAAGTCAGAATAAGAACATTAGGACACAGTGGAACCCAACTTTTGCAGCTTGGGCGAAGCTGTTACCTTAATAATGATGGGTTTTTTCATTGACTGCTAGAGAAGAAGAAGGCCATTCTCCAGATTGAAAGTTTTATTACCCTCACATGGGATTGAAATCCATCCCACCAAATATCATCACTCTTACCCAATAAAGTGTTATTTTTTAAACTACGATTGATCTATCAGAACTACTTTTACTCTTAAACCTCAAAAGGACTAACTAAAAGTAAACTATGATATGAAATACCACATTCACAGAGTATAAGACAGATAATTATTTATTATGAAAAGTTCTTTTTACTGAACCAATAAAAGTGTCTATGTGACGTTTCGATGACTAGTACGGTATGTACACTGTCACCTTCATCAGACCAATGACAGTGAAATGTATGCACACAAAGGTGTAAAATGTGTACGAGTTGTCAACAAAATCGATGTCGATTCGGCTTCGCTGTAAGCGTATGTACAAAAATTGTTATATACATATATGTACCAAAATGACTCGATTCAGCTACGCTTTGATTAATACTTGGTCTAGATGTGCGAGAGTTTATGAGCCCCTCATCTCGATTTAGAACTTGCCCACAGCGGCGTATCCAGATGGCTTCCTTCATCTGCCGCTTGAACAGATTGCTCTCTCATTCCAATACTTTGGAGTTTAGTTTTATAAACAGATCATTATTTATTTGATTGTTTTTTATAAATCTGTACAGGTTGGAGTAGTATTCCATAGACTAAACTGATAATAAACATCGAAGAATTCTACTGAGGGCGAGTCCCTAATAATAATATAACATTTAATATTTCTCGAAATGACACACTCCTACCAGTAGTTGAACTCAAGCTGCTTTCTACAAGATCTGGGGCTAGATGTTCAAAAACCAATTGGTGAATTGTAAATGTAAAATTTGAATTTTTGAAGGAAAAAATCTAAAAATTCAGGAATATGTTTGCATTTCATGTGTTCAGACATTCAGTTTGAATTTTGATACATTTAAGGTTTTATTCAGAATTTCCGTAGTCACTTGTATGAACATGTATCTTGAATATATGGCAGACCAAACCTTTGGGTAAACTGGTTGCTAATCCGGTTTCAAACTTAACTTGGCCCAGCCACTTAACAACTGAACCAAGCAATCCCTTGTCCATATCTACTTTTGCAAAGGTTCGGGTTGGAACATAAACATCATATCTATCCCCGATGAGATGTTCGTTGTTTCGTTAGTTCAAGAGAGATAAAACATTATCTTTTCTTGTTATTATGCCGAAATAAAAGAAAAATAACAATGAAGATGACTAGGACTCCTAAACATTGTTGTCATCTGCTGTAGTTATTCGGAACTCATGTGATAATTTCTTTATCCATTGACCATGCTTAATAAACAACAGTAGTCTTAAAAAGCTTTTTTTCATAGATCTTGAACAAAACATACTGCTATCTCTCTTCGCCACAGTGCTCCAAATACAGTTTACTTCGTATGTACGCTCAACAATCTGCTAAGTTGCGACAGCTCTGTGTTCGAAAACATATATCAATCAATTGTCTATTGACAGACAATAATGTGAAATATAGGTTTCATTTAGAAAGTTATAAGTTTCACGTGATATTTCTATAAACCCATT